GGCTGCACAGGCGCTCGTTCGGGGACTGAGTCGACTGCGCCTTCAGCCGGAGAAGAAGGAAGTCATCTTTACTTTCAGAGACAGACGCTTTACCATTCTCTATGTGGCGGCTGATAATAGTGTGGTGCGGGTGCATTCTAAGAAGTAGTCCTAATTAGAGTATTAAAGTTGGTTATAACTCAACATGATCTCAAACAACACTTTAATGCAAAGTTTAAATATTTTGTTTGGTATACTATGTTTTCTAACTTTCAATTACAAATACAGAGTTCACATATTAATTAATCAAAACTATTATCTCTTAATATGCCTGATTAACACACTCAACTTTTTTTCTAAAATCTTTGATGATATTATCAAACTGTAATAACTGTTGCTAATGCTGTAGATAGCAAGGACTGATACAAAGTGTAACTGCTGATAACTTTAGTGCACGACCCTAATGTGACTGTTTTGTGCTGACAGCACTCTACTGTTCCTTTTGTCCTCGTAATTTTTATTTATTTCACACATCCCATCTCTACCCTAACAATATCATTACACACACACTTACTGTTTCAATGCAGCTGCCCAGCGTTTTTAGGGGAAAGCAGTGTCCCTTATGTCCGAATCCAAACCTTACTCACAGTTACACTTGATAGTGCTACTTATTAACAAAATAAAAAAAATAAAAACCGCAATGAAAGAGTATAAAAGCGCTCAAAAACCATTTAGTTGAACAACCAACCTTTACAAAAATTTTCTAAAATCTCAACCAAACGCTAAAAATGATTCCCTTGATCATTTTCGTTCAACTTTTTGCCGCCGGATTTCTTGCCCTCTACCTGTAAGTCTTTATCCAGCGTTTTTAAACTCAAACTAAAACCGCTTTTCTCAACATTTCAGGTACGTCAACCACCGTTACAGCTACTGGTCCCGAAGAGGCGTCCCCGGTCCTCGGTCCATTTACCCGTTTGGTTTCACTCTGGCTAAAACTCTGTCTCGACCGGACGAGTACGAGCTGGGTAATGTCCGCCGTTTTGGCCCCCTCTACGGCGTCTACACCGGCACAGTTCCAACGCTAACAGTCGCCGACCCGGTCCTTATCAAGGAGCTTCTTGTGGCGAACTTTGCCCAGTTCAGCAATCGCCGTCAGCTGCAAGCGTACAACCCCGTCTGGAATCGAAACATGTTCAACCTCGACGTAGCAGAGTGGAAGCGAGTGCGTGCCATCTGCTCGCCCATTTTCACCAGCGGCAAATTGAAAGCGATGATCCCGTTGATGGACCGCTGCATTGACAATCTGCTGTCGTACATTGACTCCAAGATTGAGGAGAGCGAAAGGCCTGGCTTCATCAATGTCAAGCAGACACTGTCCGGTTTTTCGATTGACGTAATAGCAGCCACTACTTTTGCAACCGACACTCACGCCAATGGAGTCCTTAACAAAAAAGGTGTTGATAGTTCTGAAGCATCTGATAAGAAGACCTCTGACTTTGTTCACTACGGAACGTCCATTTTCAAGGTTCCACCGCTGAAGGTGGCCGCCGCTTTGTGCCTCCCTCGACCACTTCTCAACCTTCTGGGCATCAGCACCTTTTTCTCTGAAGCGTCTTTTGAATTTCTGATTAGCCTATCACGAAAAATCTTCCGCAAGAGACAAAGCTCTAAGAGCAAGCCGGCTGTTCCCGATCTAATTCAGTTGATGTCGGAAAACTTTACCACCGATCAGGCGTTAAACAGTAGCGGCTACGATCATCTGACGGCAAGCATGGACCATGAACCAGAAGAGCAGGAGAAGAGCACGGTTCTAGAGAGTAAAAGCAGCGGCTTTTCTCAGAATGGTTCAAAACCAAACTTTAGTTCAAAGCGGATGCTCGATGAAAATGAAATTCTTGGCCAGCTTGTGCTCTTCTTCTTTGCCGGTAATACTTTTTTAAAGTTTTAACCTTCTAAAACTAGTTTTTTAAGGCTTTGAAACCACCGCTTTCACTCTGACCACTGCCCTCTTTGAGCTGGCCCACCAGCCGGAAATTCAGGAGCGCCTCTACTGCGAGCTGACCTCCTTTTCTGATAAGTTTAACTCTAACAAAGAGGAGTACTACGATCAGCTGCTGAATCACGCCCCCTACCTTGCGGCGGTCATCAAGGAAACCCTTCGAAAGCACCCAAACGTCGTCCGTCTGGAGCGACGCGTCTCGGCGCCTGAGGGCGCCACCCTGGGAAAGGTTCACCTCGATCAGGACGTCCTCGTGGAGGTGCCCATTCTGGCGGTGCACCACAACCCCAACTTTTACCCCGAGCCGGAGCTCTACAATCCCGAGCGTTTCATGCCCGAAAACAGGGACCGTCTGGTTCCCTACGCCTATCTGCCCTTTGGCGGCGGACCTAAAAATTGTAAAAAAATTTGGTTTTGTGATACTTATTGATAAACACCAGAGTAATTTAATTTGTTTTATTTCTTTGCAGGCCTCGGCATGCGTTTTGCCTACCAGGAGATGAAGCTCTGTCTGGCTCGGGTGCTCTCCCGGTACCGCTTTAGCCTGGCAGCGGACACGCCCACACGGCTCATCTACGCCAAGGGCGCCCAACTGTTGGTCTGTGAGCCCTTTCACCTGGCGGTGGAGTTGAGATAAGATGAGGGTGATTTATTGTTGAGTATAGAACAAGTTTTAAAATTTCTTTAACAAAAATAAAATTTTGAAGATCATGTCAGTCGATGTTCCCAGGCGGTCCGGTAATTAAAGTTTTCCCGTGCGATAAACTGTAGCGGACACCGAGAGTCAGTTTGGTAGTTGACTTTTGTTTCAGGATACCTCTTCTCCAAAGTCCACTCATGAAACCTTCTACACCAGATTGCCAATCGGTTAAAAGCGTAAAAGAGACGACACAGCGTCCATGAGACGATCACCGAACGGCTAGACAAGCGGACAGTGAACCAAATGAGGGCGTAGGCGAGGTAGTCTAGAACGCCTCGAAGTTCATAGTCCTCCTCTTTTGGAAGTCCAAAGATGGGCGCCGCAAAGCGCATGATAGCTCGGTAGCGAGAAACGCCGGGCA